AAAGACAACGTTATTGATCCACTCTCTCTCTCTCTCTATCAACTTTAGTTGTAAAAGAAAAATTCTCAAAGCCACCATTGACACAGCATGTCAAAGTCGGTGTGTCTGCTGGTCAGGGCTAGGTTTTTAACCACCAAAAGGGTTCTTGTCTGTGGCCAATCTTCTCATTTTTCTCAACAAGGATCAAGATTAAAAAATTCAACTCTCGTGTGAGAAGCGTGTCTGTGGACTGTGGGACAGGTAAACCTCAATGGGACGAGCGTACCCAGTCGGCTAGTTAACAGTCCGTGATGGAGAGCGAACAGTGCATCCAAACCGTTGATTAGTCAACTTGTCGGGTTTGGTGATCAAAAGAGTAATGTCATTGAGACCAAATAAATTAATTTAATTTATCAACCTAATGATTTATCAAGTGATCTAGAGTTTAAAAGTTTCGTCATAGCAATATTAACTGTTGTATCAGCAAATTAGGACAATTTTTTTAAATTTCAATAACGTTACTTCTACCAAAAATACTCTTATACAAAGCTAGTCTTAATGAATCTTTAGATTGGATAACATAGGATTAGAGGTGGTAATTTTAACTCATTACTCATTAATCTGTCCAATTTGCTCATAATAAATGGATTGAGTACCATATTAATTAATAATGGATTAGATAATATGATTCATTTTAATTAAGCAGATTAATATAGATTATAAATTGGTACCCATTAAGTTAAGTATTTATCTTTTTATTAAATAACACAAGTAATAAAATTAAATAAATATGCTAATATAACAAAAAATACTCACTATTATACCAAAAAATACACACATATATACTAATACACCAAAATATACACACACTAATACATTATCCATGACCCACAGGTCGACCCGTAATCCATGGGTCAATCCATGACCCACGATCCATGGGTTGACCCATAACCCATGGGTCAACCCACGACCCACAAACTAACGCATAGCCCACAATTGACCCCAACCTATTATATGTGTATTTTTTTTATTAAATATGTTTTAGTTTTTGTGTTAGTATATGTGTGTGTATTTTTGGTGTATTAGTGTGTATTTTAGTGTATTAATGTATATATTTTTAATGTATTAGTTTGTGTGTGTTTGAGTGTATTAGTGTGTTTGTGTATGTATATTGGTGTACTAACGTGTCTATTAAGAATTTTAATTATTTTATGGATTAATCGATTTAACTCAACCCGTTATAAACTCAACCCATTATAATTCATTTATTAGAGGTGTGTTTGATAACGTTTTTGTTTTTATTTGTGATAAAATTAAAAATATAAAACATGTGTTGGTAATCATTTATATTTAAAAATTATAAAAACAAAAATAAAAAATATGCTTGGTATTATAGCAAAAATTCACCATTTAACACCACCACCAACCACCCAACAACCAACCACCAGCCACCACCAAACACCCACCACCACCAAAAATCACCCCTCAACCCCTTTCCAATACCCAACAACCCCTAAAATTCACCACCCCCACCCTGAAACTCACCACCACCAAAACCCAGCCCCAACAACACCCCAATCGGATGAAACTCAGCATCACCCAGCCCCAGCACCGCCCTAATCGACTGAAACCCACAACCACCCAACCCACGCCCATCCCCGAAACCCACCACCCAAGCCCACCCCCATCCTCGAAAACCCACCACCACCCAAACCCACCACTGCCCAACCCCACCACCACCAACCTACCCCCCACCACTAGCGAAATCCACCACCACTCCCCCAAAATCCATCACCACCACCAAAATAGAGAAGGTTGAGAGAGAAAGGGAGAGGGAGCGAAAGCAATAGACGGAGAGTAGGGGAGATGGCGTCTGGATCCTTCGTCTTCGTCCTTGTGGCTGTGGCTTCGACTTCGTCTTCAACACAAAGAGTCAGAGATAGAAAGACAACATAAATATGAAAGGTGAAAGAGAGAGATGGCCTTTTATATACCCAAGCAAAAAAATTCATATTTTGTTGCTACGGAGGATCAATGTCCAGACCTCATTAAATCCTTTCACCATTGCGCGTTTGTTTTTTCTTTTTGATGTTTTCATATTTTAGCTTGTTTTTAAAACAGAGTAATTAAAAAAAAAAAAACATTCACCAAACATGTTTTTATTTTTTTTTGGTCATAAAATGAAAACAAAAACAAAAAAAAATGAAAACAAGCATTTACCAAACGCTACCTAGGTGAGTGAAAAATAGATTTGATTTATTTTAGTTCAATCCAATTTAACCCAACCTAGAACCAACCCAACCCACCCATTTGCCACCCCTAGATTGGATAGTAGAATTGTCGTGTTTCATCCAATCCATTCCTCCTCAATCAGGGGCAGAGCCTGAAAAATATTTTAGGGTAGACATATTAATAAGTTTTAATTTTTTTTTATCAATGTTATAGAGATTTAATCAATGTAACTTTTATTTTAGTTGTAGAGTTTACTTTCAATTAAAATGGTGCATTGAATTACGTCATTAAATTAAATCCAAATAGCATTTTTAATTTTTTTTTTTGATTGACCACAGAAGCTTATAACATAAAACATTAAAAAATGATTTGCATGAAATGAACAAACAAAAAATATAAGTAAATTAATTAAAACATTGTATGAGACTAATTATTATCATTTTACGATTAAATCTAATTATTATTTATCATTTAAAAGAATTACAAATCAATGATATTAATAAATACTTTTTTTTCTATATATAACATGGTAATAACAATCTTTTATTTATTACCTTGTAATTTATTACGTAATGACGCTCACTTTTATACAATAACAAAATAATTCTATACTTAAGAAAAACAACTGCGATATGTCTAAAAATTATTTAGACATTTCCGAAATGTGCTTAAAAATTTAAGGATAATAATAATTGCATCTAATTCAAAATTTAATTTTATATCTTGACCCAAAAAAATTTAAAATTTAATTTGTTGGAACCCAATGACTTGTGACCATTGAATGAATAGTGGACGTTACTAAATATAATGACTCACTACTAGATTTAATATCACAGCATATTAGTCTCAATAAACATTATTTGAAATTAAGTAGTGATCTATTTTAATCGATATCACAATAAAAAGGTGAGCACAATTAAATATGTCTAAATTTTATTTTAAAAAATATATATTTAATATAAAAAAAATTGAAGGTGAGCACTAATAAATATGTGTAAATTTTATCTTAAAAAGTATATATCTAATATCAAAAAAAAAAAACCTTTAAGGTGGTCCAAGGGTGGCTCCGCTCCTGGATTCTCAATCCAATCCAGTCACTTGGAAGAGACTTCAGTCAGTCAATCACGTGTTTGGTAGGAAAATATGAAAATTGTGGCTGCACGAATAAACTCGGCTGTGGTGTAAACTTACTTGCTGACAATTTTAACATCACACTCCTAAAACAATTATGATTCAATCTGATGCAGACGTATATCCGAAAATTGGTTTGGCTAAGCTGATCAGGGCGTGTTTAGTAACATCCCCAGTTGGGTTTACAAAACACCATGGTGTTATTTTTACTGTTCAATCTTCGTTTTGAACTAATTTGTCAAAGTAGTTTGGTCAATAGCAATAATCTTATTTGTAACTAACTTGAGAATTTTGTATATTGGGGTCGTTGGATTAATGGTGAACTTCATTGAATGTTAGTCTAATAGTCGGGTGCGGCTCCTCTTTTGTTAAAAAAAAAACAGGAAAATATATATGTTGTAAGTTTGGTATGTTAATTTTGGGTGTTTGAGAAATTTCAATGGGTGATGCCAACTTTGGGTTGCTGGGCTTTTGGGTATATACCGTAAAATTATATGACCGACATATTTGGTTTATTTAGCTTTTGGAGATTTGCTTGAATTTTCTTTAAAGATCTGCTTGTCTGAGTTGTTGACAAATCCAACAAAAGTTGTTTTGAAAAAATTGTCCTGATCAATGGTAGCGTAGCCTATTTTCATGTCTTATTTTGTTAATAGACATAAAGTATTACAATCCCATTTAATAGAAAACACGACCACAGCATTGTTGCTCATCCAAGTTCCTGCAAGTGTGTGTGTGTGTGAGAGAGAGAGAGAGAGAGACGTTTTGTACAAATGAGCAAGAGTTGGTAGAGAAGAAAAAGTGCCTATCCATGAGATAACAGAGAGCTTTTAGGAGTCATTTTTGGGGAAAAAAATAAATTTTATGCAAAAACTTATTGAATCGTTGGCCTTTTAACTAACAGCATAGTTTGCTGTTTTTAATGATAATTAATGAGGATAAAGATTATGAGGGCAACTTTGTTTCTTTCACTAAACAATTAAGGACTTTTTTTTTTGGGAAAGTTAAAGAATTAAGGACTGGGTCCCAACCAAGATGGGTCATACATTACCAATAACCCCTACCAAAAAGAGACCACCTTTTTCATGTACCTGTTCTTTCTTCAACAATCATAAATGATCAGGTTTCCAATATGCAGCTTATAAAACCAAAAAAAAAAAAAATTAAGAGCATGAGTTTTCTTTTCTTTATGGTTTCTATAATGTTTCCAGCACATGGAAAACAACTCATTCAGCCCCAAGATACCATACAAGAGGGCTGACCATTTGTATTATAAATGCAAACAACAGAAAGGCAGATCCAGGAATTAGGGAACCCGAATTCTGTATCGTGCACTCGCTTGATTAAAAAAAGTTGAAAAACTAAAAAAAAATTATATGTATATGCATTCCTATAAATATGTAAAAAAGAGTTTATCATGTTAAAATTGAATTAATCATATATGTTGACATCCTTGCACACGTCATTTCCCATTCCCAATTTGGCAGCCCTAACAGGGGCCACTTGAATTTGGTCAAGGCTATTAATCGTTCTCATAGATAAGAAAGTTGGAATTATTAATTTTTTTAAAGAGGAAGAAAAAAAATAGTGGGAAGAGCTTTCTGCTAATCCTTTGTAGAGATCTCTGTGAGAGCCTGAATGATGTTGCTAATGCTACCCTACAAAGCAGAAACTTCCAATTTCCTAAGCCGAGAAATGCGTTTGCGGTGGCCACGGCCCTGTCTATGTTGTTCCCACTCGTGCGCCCCTCTGAGTACCCTGTCCCCGCATGCCTACCAGTGAAAAGAGTCGTAGACCCATCAATATTCCAATCAATGCATATGAATTAAAAGCATGAAATGCACACTCAAGGGCACCCATACAAACACCAGAGAGAGAGTACCACAACTATCACTAACCTTGCACACATATTGAGTCCACAGGTCCCTTTGGATCAATTTCAATGCTTGGGTGCCTTTTCTGGCCACGGAGTCAAGTGCTGCACTGGCATCCTTATCAAGGAATGACTTGATTATTCTCACGGAGGGCTCAACAACATGTGCTGCCCATAAATCATTACTTGTACCTGCGTATTGAATGTTCAATCTGATTCAGTCTAACACCTGGAGGCTGGAACATATCATCTCATGAAACAAGAAAATCATGATGACTATGAAAACTTGTAAGCACTTTGAAAGACATGCCTGCTAAGGAATCCGTGGAATCAACACTATTTATGTCCCAGCCAAACAACGTTTGTAATCTACTAAGCCTCCTCTTCTGGGAAACAACAGGGTTATCAGCAATAAAGCATCAAATTAATATACAGCAACAAAGTCTCAATGCTCATTCCATGATGTTTAATTCAATACTGGAAACACATTTATCTAAACATTCAAAAAACGTTCAGGACACCAATATTGTATGAGACGGAATGTTAGGCGACTAGGAAACAACATAGTGACAAAATTAGTGTAACGGAAATAACAATAACATTGTGGATGTGTGGAAAAACTAGAAAGGATAGAATACGAAATGACCGTATTAGAGAAATGGTAGAAGTAGCTTCAATTGAAGATAAGTTAAAAGAGAATAGATTAAGATGATTTGATCAGTTCAACGAAGGCCGATAGAGGCACCGGTTCGAAAAAAGTGATAGAGTATCTCTTAATAGTTCTAGAAGTAGGGAACTAATGATAGACCTAAATTAACATTGAACAAAATAATAGAAGATATAAAAATATTTAACTTAAACGAGGGTATAGCGCATGATCGAAATGAATAACGAAGACGGACTCATAAGGCATAGTTTGGTTTGGTTATTCAAAAAACGTTCAATGTTTGAAGAAGATTATACCTCCTCTTACAGAAAAGCAACAAATTTTTTTAGATATAATCAAAACAAGAAGGTTGGCAAACCACACTCTGACATGGATCTATAGAAATAACCAACTAACTTGGTGAGAATTTATTTAGGAACACATTAATCTTTTCTGCTTTTACCAAAGTAATTCATCTAGCTTTTCGAAAAACATGAATAAGAAGAGAAAATGGGGGAACAACAGTTTCACAGAAACACTTTACACTATTTGAAAGACAACTTAAGAAAAACTGAATATCAAGGGAGAGACAGCACATTAACTCAGTAAAAGTAGATTTCAAAAGTATGGGCAGAATTTGTAAGTTTCATGAATGATTAGCCAATTGCTCACAAAGTCAAGCAACCACTACTTTTCTCAATATAAAATATGGGATGAAATATGATCCAACAAAGAAAAGGGAGAGGCAAACTAAAAATCCAGAGAAATTTTCCAAAGCAAGTAGTTCCGATAATTTTTCTGGATAGGTTGAACTATTGGAAGCAAATGGAAAGGAACACCAAGTGAGATCAAAGAAACTAGCGAACTGATCACTAATTAAATACCAAACCAAAGCCCACTTGGTTCTCTTGCTCCTTACTCATGAAGCATCATCCGAAACAAAAGAAGGATTCAATCAAGCCCATAGGTTCTATGAGCAATTTAATGAGAAATCAAGAATGCTTGCCACCAGCTGCAGTGTGATAAGGAGAAAAATAATGCAAACGAATAAACAAATCCCAAAAAAAAAAAAAAAAAAAGAAATTGCTCACTTGACGACGAACAAGTCTTCGAGTGTTCACTTTTACTTTGTCAATGGCATCATTTAATAAAAGATTTTGTTGGTTCTCCTTGGAGGCATTCAGGAATTCCCACACATTTCCTTTCAACATCTTACAATTGTCTTTTGATGACATCTGAAAACAGGAGCCATCTGTACTGTTCGCACCACAAGTGTAAACTCTCAGAAAATCCTCAAATTCTCGGACACCAATAGCCTGCCGTAAACCTCGAGTATAGTTTGCATTCAAGTTGTAGATGTCATAGACTTCATTAAGCAAACCAGCATTAACCATGTGATCTACTCTTTGCTCCACATATCGATCCAATGCAGGGAGTGATGCATCCACGCATATAAAACAGCAAATGTATCTGAAACTATCAGCTTTACCCCAGTTCTGCCCTGTCACATGCGATATTAGGAGATTATTCAAGAGCAAACAGGTCAGATTGGCATTATCTCATGTGCTCAAATAAATTGGTTTCATCCTGGCAATTACAGATTCCATCTATACTGTTCCATCTTCCCCAGTAGGAAAATAGGTCAAAGTTAAAATATCAAAATATTTTCGTTTTCCCTTTTCCTTTTCTTTTTTTGCAAAGAGTAATGCAAATTGAGCGTTCTAACTTTGACCAACTCTTTTCCAGTAACCAATAAGCATCTCATAATTCAAATTTTTGCATTTAATGCTTCTTTAGTAGTTAAAAGGCAACTTCAATAAAAGATAGGCAGGCAGAACAACTATATCATTGTTGCTCCTGATAAAAGTGTCCCACAATCAAACCTCTTTTTACAAAGAAGGTGCCTAATACTGCTGACATTAGCCACTTACAACCATGTAGGCAACTGTGACAGCAGTACAAACCTGCATGGATGTCTCCTGAAGAAGTTTACTTGGAAGAACACCGGAGCGAGCATACATACAAAGGTATTGCTTGATCTGCACAAGTTCGAACCAACTAAGGGGTCATCCAAATTATGCCATTAGGATAACCAATCATGACAAACATATGTGGCACAAATGCTTTCATATTCCTACTGAATGAAGAACTACACAATCTCAAATAGTATTCACTATTCAGTCTTTATTTTTGCAAAATTCTAAGATTGATTGCCAAACAAAGTGATCTTGACACTGAATATGATAATTACATAATATTCACCTAAATTAACAACCAATAACTTCAACCAAGTTTTTAACGAGAGAGGCTGAGAGAACAAGAGAGACTGAGAACGATAGAACAAAAATGAAAAACCAGTGCAAATGCTTTATATATATATATATATATAATTTTTTTTTTAATTTGTCGGGTTCAGGTTGAACTCAGGTTCACGAGGCCGTAACCTGAGCCCAACCCAAACTAAATTCGGGTTAGAATTTTTCGACCCAAGCCCAACCCAAGAATTAAAAACCCTTGTCCAAGCCCTAATTTTTTCAGGTTGGGCTCGGGTTGCCCGACCCAAGTTGCACCCCTAAAAAGAATTAATATTCAATAACATTTCCCCAACCACTGGTCCTCAAAGGAGTAGGATCATTAGAATCATTATGCATACTGAATGTACCCTAGTGCAGGCATAAGCACCAAAAAAGTTCCACACATTTGTGCTTCAGTATCAAATTTACATAGTACAAGCCTTCTTGTTTATATGGTCAAAGCAGAACCACTAGTTAGCTAGATGATAATTACCTTTCTATGATCATTTGGATGAATTCTATTAGCTGCAACTGGATCAAGGTCTTTAAGGCAATCGAAATTATAACTAAAATTCTTTCCCTCAACTTCCAGTTCAGAATCTGATTGTTTATCCCCTGTGAACGGTAAGGGTATATTAAATAACACTTAAAAATATGTACAGAGACACACTCCCCAATATCTATATGCCCTTACATATTGTCAATCCAAACTCCTAAAGCGACTAATAATTGTTTACCAGGTTGATCAATTAAGCAGCTTTCATCCACATCTTCTACCGAGTCATCAAGAAGGAATTGACTCACAAGAGCCTGAGTACAATTAAACAGACAAATGAAGAACACAATTATGGCCAAAAAATGCAGAACAATGAACAAGATCTTCTGAAGAACAAAACTCTGGCTCATGCTAGATTAACAGTGTTTTAGAATAAGCTCCAGGTCAAAGTTGGTATTACAGGATTGCGGAAAAACCCAAGAAAATGGCAACATGAATAAAATCAGTATTGCGACAAGTGCTGAAGACTAGAACATGCAAGAAAATATTGGAAGTCTTTATGTTATCCTTCACAGCGGATTCCCCTGACAAAACTCAGCTAGAGATAGTTCTTAACCTCATGTCCTAGCAAACAAGAATAAGCATGAAAAAAGTGCTGCAATCCCAAGAGACTAAANGATTAAGTAGGGCAAGTAGAAGTAGCTATATGATAGTGTGGGCACGTAGGGGCAAGTTGAATTTCATTACTTCCCCCTTCCCCATCTTTGCCTGAGAGAGAGAGGGAGAATTTAAATGAAACAAAATTTGCAATTGTTGAGAGATAAATAGAAATTCTCACAGGAATCGCATAGTCCCGAAAATCCTTGGCGGTGAACTCAACGTCTGGGCTGATTGTACCCAAAAGATGATGAGGCACTCCTATAAGTAAACNAATCGAAGCAGTAGGTCAATATATTTAAGAACTGATTTGAGAATGTGATTCACACCCCCAAAAAGTAAAAAGCAGCAAATTACCAGCTTTTAAAATACCTTGCAAAGATATATTGAGAAAGAATAATTCCATGGATTGGGCCCATAAACTACTATTCGTAATTGTATTTGACAAAAGATAAGCCATTCACATCCACATCTTTTAAACAAAAAAAAACCTTAGTGCTAAATTCAGTTGTCCAAACCAAATATAATTCCTATATAAAAAGAGAATGGTGTAGGCNGAGTTTGGCAGTCTGCCTCTTTATCACGTCAGACTGGAAATCATTGGGCAACTTGTAGTGTTGTTTTTGGTTGGATTGTTTCGGTGTCGCTATCTTTGCTAGGATGTATTGTCCTCCAATTTATCCTAAATTTGTGCTATCTTCTCTTTGTCTAATTAAAGTCTGTTGCTATTAAGAGTAAAAAACTACAAATTGTTCTGTCAATGTTCGTTGCCGATAAAAGAAAAATGTTCATTGTCGAGAAGCACTTTTTTCCCTTCACCTGTCACATTTCATCTGCATTAAGTGTTCTATCACTCTCTTTATAAAAAGAAAATCTTCTCTGCTGCTCTTGTTCTGTTCTCATCTGAAATCATTCTTCTTTTGACGCCCTGTGAACATCTTATCGCCCTTGAAACTGATCTGAAGGAATTGAGTGACTGCTGCAGCGTTGTCCTTTGCCCCTATGGATTTTATGAGGAATCACTGGACTGGAGTACCTCAAGTAGTACCAGGACACAAAGGTAGATTTCCACCCTTGGGTAATCTGAAACATTTACCTTTCGTTATTTTTGTAACTTATTGCAAGTTCACTCAGCTATTGCCATAATCTTCAATACAGAAGCCATTATCGGATTCAGTTGATGACACGGGGGAAGGTGCCATAGAGAAATTGATGATTATTAATTGTAGAACTTATTTGATGGAGGAACGTTCGTTTAGACCGCCCTCGCCCTCGCCCGCCAGAAGTTTCCTGTGCAACAACTCTCAGCCCTGGTAATGGTTTTTTGTGCGCACTTTGTCTTACGTAATGAAGTCATTTCTGGTTCATTGAAGATGGGAGTGTTGGTGATGTTCCAGAAATTACATGGCAGAATATTGGAGCCAGAGGGATTCAGATCCTCTGCTGTTCGCTTAAAACGGCACCGTTTGGTGCCTTTTTTAAAAAACCAATCAGACCCAAAAAAAAAAAGTCCCAAAACGATCATTCCTCAAATGTCTTCACTCCATCGCCTATGATCATTCCACAGATCCAAAATGATGCCGAAGTCGAAGACCCAAAAAATTCTAACACTCCATTGCCTACGTCTTCACTGATGCTGACGCCGACGTTCAAAGCTGCTCAAATCTGGATGTTTTAGAACTCGAACAATTTAGGGAAAAAAAAAAGTAAATGCAGTGTTGGGCGCCTCAATTTTCTAGCAAAGGTAAGTTCTAACATCGAGAATAGACAATGGCATTGGACTATCTTTTTCTAATGAGTACAGACAGATCCCAGAGCATATGCATGATATTCGGAACATCAACTTGCAGCCATATCAGGTGAAATTGCTTCTTGCCTCCAAGGACAGACATACAAACCCTGAATTCAACCACTAACCACTAACCACTAACCCTGATGTTGGTTGGGTTGAATATCTTCTCTTAACCACTAACCCTGAATTCAATTGTCAAACACTTGCTTCTATTTGTGGTGAAAACCCAGAAACATTTCGGTAAGAAACAGAGACAGTGCTATCTAACTTCTCAAATTTTTTACATTCAAATTTAAGTTTTGTGATTTTTTTTTTTAAAAAAAAGGCAGTCCATTGTATAAGGCTGCTGCCATTGTGGGGATTGGAGAATCTTTAACACCCAGATCACAATCTCATTACAGCACCAAGGCTGACCTATTGAATTCAAAATTTTCTTATTGGGTTTTTGTTGTTGTTGTTGTAGTTGTGCAGTGAATGATTATGTATCAGCAGTGAAGAACATGGCCTGTGAGATTCTTGAAGTGATGGTTGAAGATTCAATAGAGGAATGTGTTCAGTAAGCTTTTGAAGGATGAACAGAGTGACTCTGTTTTTAGGGTCAATCACTATCCTCCATGTCCCTGAGCTTCAGGAATTGAATGGTAGGAATTTGATTGGATTTGGAGCACACACTGACCCACAAATCATATCTGTTTTGAGGTCTAACAATACCTCTTGCCTTCAAATCTCACTGAGAGATGGAGATTGGATCTCAGTTCCACCTAATCAGAATTCCTTCTTCATCAATGCTACTCCTCTATGAAAACAATCTACTATGCAGAAGATTATGAGTCTGTTCTCAAAGCACAGACATACAAAGACAAAACCTATATGAAACTTCAAGCTCACAGTTCAGATGGGTACATAGCCAGTATGAGTAAGTCTGGTGCAACGGCTTGAGTTGTTACGATCCATATTCATGTTACTTTCTAACTTTAATTTAGTGAAGTTGTTTGTGATTGTAATGATAAAATGATGTAATAGTTTACTTTCATTTATGGGAAGGATCTTTTCTTAATTATGTAATGGTTTGTTTCATTTATGTAGTGCTACTTATGTGTTGGTGGGATAACTTTGGATTGTTGAATGATGGTGGTATTGCATTGGATAACTTAGCATTATGTTGGATGATGGTGGTGTAACTTAGCATTTGTTAGATTGTTAGTGTAACGGTTGCTGGATGATGGTGGCATTGAAGGGATGATATATGTAATCTTTGTATATTGGATGATGGTATTGTAGGCATTTGTTGGATGATGGTGGCATTGTATGTTGGATGTTTATGGATTCAATATACTTAAACAATTTAACTATATCAAGAAGATAATGGGTTCATGTACACAGGTGTTTCCAAAGGGATGGTTGATCTTCTAAAACAAGACAATAGAAGATCCACCATCCCTATAACAGAAGAATACATTGTAATTTCACATTTCAAAAAGAAAGTGTCATAACTGGACTGCAACAACAACATCCAACACTACAGCAANTTCTATAAATCAATTGCAAATGGTGTCCAGTGATTCAGGTCTTGTAATTAGTTTATGCACAATATACGTGAGATTGCTAAGTTATAAATTGAAGCCAACTCATGCAGGCATAGTGAACAAATGGGTACTGGAGACTAGAATTCTCGAAAAGCAACAATGTTGTCAATTTTTTGCTTTAAAATACATCAAAACAATACCACCTTCTTTCAGCAGAAATCAAGTAATAGAGATTAAGTAGGGCAAGTAGAAGTAGCTATATGATAGTGTGGGCACGTAGGGGCAAGTGGAATTTCATTACTTCCCCCTTCCCCATCTTTGCCCGAGAGAGAGAGGGAGAATTTAAATGAAACTAAATTGGCAATTGTTGAGAGATAAATAGAAATTCTCACAGGAATCGCATAGTCCCGAAAATCCTTGGCGGTGAACTCAACGCCTGGGCTGATTGTACCCAAAAGATGATGAGGCACTCCTATAAGTAAATAAACCCAAACATAAAATCAAAAGAATTTATGCGTATCAGAAAGATAACATTGACTCATACATGTGAATAGATTGAGAAGGTAGGAAGAACCTTTCTGGTCTTGGGCAGGAACTTTATTAGTGAGAACATCCAATCCTTGGTAAACCTAACCACAAAACAATAATGGAGAAAGTGATTATCTGGTAAGCTTACACATAATATACACACAGAGATATGTATATATATACGGTATGCCTGATACCTGCATGGAATCGGCGTTGATGATTTCGATGGGGAAGTGAGAAGCGAGGTCGATGGCGAGTTTTGATTTGCCAGAACCAGTTGGGCCCATTATCACCACTATCTTCGGTTTCGAACTTGAATTCGGGTTATCTTCCTTTTCTCTCTCCTCTTGTCCTCCATTGCAAGGGTTTTGGAGTCCTTCCGTTTCACGGCTATTTTCCATCTCTCTGTCTCTTCCGCTCTCACATCACACTCGAACTTAGGTGAGAACTGAAGCCTAAACACTTTTTTACTGCAGGAAACGGGTTAGACCCATTGGAAACATTGGTTGAGCCAATCCCAAAATTTTAATGGGCATCAACGGGAAAGGCTTGGTCCAGCGACAGGTGGGATCACTGGGATGAGTGGTTGGCAAAGAAACTGAGAGTGGGAGAAGGGGGACGTTGTTGCATTTTTAAGGGCTTTTCACATCTTCTACTAAAAAAAGATGATAAAATTCTCACTTTATATCCTAAATAATTTTTCTCACATTGCACTATTAGAACCGGACCTAGAAGAGGACCAGGTCAATAATTCACTGATTCTATTATTGAGTCAATTGGTTAAATCAGTCATATAATAAAAAAATATATATAATAATTATAAAAATAATAATTTAACCAAAAAAATATAAAATATGTCTACGATGTATACAACACCTATGCCAAATATCAGACAGGTCCAAATTAAAATTTTCAAATACATATAATGCACATCCATCTCTCGAATCTATTACCAATATACAGATTTTTTTAAACTTAAACACTCATGTACAACAGTTTTAAACTTATAGAAACGGATTTGTTAAAACCGCTTTCACTTATAAAACGGAGTTAATAAATCCGTTTTTAAATATAAAAAGCGAAATCAATAAATCCACTTTTAAATAAAAAAATTATAATTTTTATCATATTTGTCGAACTAACATTTTTCAGAAAAAAAATGTGACTACCAAACACGTTTTTATGTTTAACTGGCTTTGGTAATGGGCTAATTAAACAGACTTTTATTTAAAAGCGTGTTTGATACCCACGCTTTTAGGCTAAAAAAGTCAAGTATAGCTGACAGACTCTCACATCTCACATAGCTCCACCTTCTTTCTCTCCAACAGATCTCATCCTCCTACAAGTACTCTTCTAGAAGCTTTATAGCCTTTAGTTTCTAATTTAATGTCACCAAATTTCGAAAGGTGGAATTCACAGTGGTGTTACAGAAATTTCGAATGAAGGGTTTTTAGGAGGAGGAAAAAGAAAGTTGGAAATTGAATGCCACTGAAAAAGAGAAGAGGAAGAGGATTGGGGGGCTAATTTTTACCAAGTCGATTCTTCATGTTGCTGTTGATG